AAACGTCATCCAAGCATTAAGGAATCAGTTCCACTTGGTATGGTTATATTCTTTTAAAGAAGATAAATATCAACAAGTTAGTCCTTGAGTAAAAGTGCTTATTACAGAAATAGACTAACATGAAGTGTACAAATGATGTACGACTTATTTTCTATAAATTATTTGATAACTGAAGTAATTGTCAATCTACATTCGAAGAAATCTCGCACTAGTTTAATCTTGTGGCTTGTTAATTTATATCCGGATAACTAGATTCGCTCTGGCTGGCATTTATTATAAAATTGAATATTATAAAGTAAAATGCAACTCAAACAGAAATTCTCAACCATCATTATTTTTAACAGGTACATGACTGATGTTTATCCGCATATTGTTTTTCGCCGAAAAAGCAGTTAGCTTAGATTTTACATCCTTAATGTTTGAAGAAGTTATACATCAATCTATATGATATAGTGATATGTCCACGTAATTCTGTCACATTTCTGCGATACAATGTGGTATTGGGTCAAGGGGCGACGGTTGAGACAAGGATAAACAGCAAACTCTCAGAACTTACGCATAAAGTTGTTTAGATAATGTATTGTGAATTAGTTTTAGATGCCAGATAAACAGCAATATGAGCACCATATTAGTTAGTGGGTACTAAGCCAATTATTTACTTTGATTCTAGCTTATTATATCCTATGACGAATGCCAATTTTACTAAATATTGGATATTTGACCGTAATAATTCTGATTGTATGAAAATGTCACTTGATTGATGAGTCTTAATAATTAACGGAGTTTTAGATCTTTAGATCTGACTTTATGTTTTTACTGATAAATTAATCCCAAGAAGGTTCTAACAAGGAGTGAATGTAGTGTTGAAAGGAAAGAATATATGATTTTTAGAAAAGCAGATAACTCATAACGTACTGACATCTAAACAAATACCAATAAGAATCAGGGAGTACTGGATAAGTTTTCTGTCCTAGCTTGAAATTCGTTAGCAGTGTTCACTTACAGCTAGCTTCCGAATCTGAATTCAGGACCGGATCTGGTGGGAAGTGTTACGCAATTAGACCATTTAGTCGAGGAGCTTACAATCCGTAAGTTAGACTTCTAGTTATATGGTTCTGTCAGCTACTTGACTCAGAAAGTCCAAGTACTGTTGAGACCAATCATTTATGAACGTAAAGATGAGGTCTAGAATTATAACTTAGACAAATAACTTAATGGAACGTTAGATATAAGAAATTTAGGTAGACCATTGGATTGATAGGTATCGGTATTTGACAATCAAACATAAGTCGTTGTACAAAATGGTTTAAACTTTACTCCAAAAGTAAAACTTATTTGGAAAAGCGCCATTCTTTAGTTGGCCAGTTTCTTAGTGAACTTTTATTTTCCGTCTTTGGAATGGTAGAATCTATGAGATATCCTTTTTCAGAAAAAAAGTTATCATATGAACAACGGTCATTTATAATGGATTACTTTTTATATCTGTGAAGTATGAGTAAATGGTAAATACAGCTTACAATTTGGATTATGATCAGCCAATAGCCTGTTAGCTAAACTATCGTAACGTTATATGTACCTAGAAGTAGCGAACACTTTGTTTACCTGTAGTTTCGCTTACAGCCCAAACGGTATCGTGTGACAAATTATACAGATAGATTGCGATATTTAACGTGCCGTTCGAATGGCTGAATCAGCTACGTAAAACATCCGAAATTCCTATGTCATACCTTCTCAAAGAATCTATAAAAGTGATTGTTAACAACAACCATGGTCCAATAATTGCATTTTCGATCAATACAACAGTTTACCATACAGGTGGACATTCGAAAACCAATAAAACACTGATTAATTACAGTCCTAAACATCAATGGGAAAATTAAAACAAACAATGAAAAATCATTTAGTTTATTAAAATCATCATTTATAGACCATGGGAGAACTAAAGCAATAAAATCATAACATGTATGACTATAGAGGGTTGCGAACAGGAGAAAGGTATGATTCAGGCAATATTCCCCTATGGAAATAGTTGATAATTTGCATAACTGAAAATCGACAACTACAGATTACAAATTCATGGTAACACCCTTATACTTATTGAATAAGTTAGTAGTCATCTAGACTCAATATCTCAGGTGGGTGAAGCATCGAAGATAAAGGTACTAGGTTTGAGTCCTAGACACTGGAATGCAAATACATCTAACTGACGAGTCTTAAATGGGACGAAGCGTCAGTCATTGACTACACTATTAGCCACCTATCAAGTGTACTACTATACTAATATTTATTGAAATAAAATATTCAAAAATGAAGAATATTCGAGAGAACAATTGTTTTCAAACTGCATCATCAGGCTTTACAGTTATATTATTATTTTAACACATAAGTATAGGTACAGGGAGGCACCAAATACATATGCGCCACACAAATCTCAATTGATTTGTGTGAGGGCTGTGATACTGCTCGGGTGCCCAAACCGAAGCAGGTGGTTTACTTAGGGGGCCACACCCCGAGCCTTCGACCTGAACGTCTGACCCACAAGGCAGTGGAGCATCGTGAGGAGATGCAGTCCCATGGTAACCGGTGACCAACGATTGGTTCATACGCCATTTGTTCCCGCAGGATACTGGAGCCCATGTGCACCATTGGTTTGTGGTCCGGTTAAAGCGCCGGACATTCGCTTTTCGTCCTCTCATTTTTGTAAACAACACCCCCGCCACGAGAAGGCAGTGAGTAGGACTTCCCTGGCAGAGGCTATATACGCATGGCCATGTGAGAGCATTTCGAGAGGGAGAGCGGTCTCTCCCCACTCTCGGCCGTACCAGGGCATTCGGGAGCCTTTACAGTTATAAGTCCATAATTATATTTTACAAAGGTCAAAATAAAGCATGTATTGATGAATTTGTTATATCTTAAAATTGGTGAACGTTTGCATCTGTTACGACATATATACTTCGAAAAAAAGTGAGGAGGTAAGAGGTTTATAATATTCAGTTTAGGTATTCGGTGATCCAGTCGTAGGCCAAGGTAAACTATAGTCTGGATATACCTTTTCTGGATACGTTTGTTTTGCTGGAATTGATCTAGATGGCTTCGGCTATGTAGAGTAGCCGTAACCTAGCTCCTTGAGGTAAATTTTTTGGAACTTGATCCAAATCAGAGAAAGCTTGCTCCATTTTGATACGATTTTCACTATCTACTAAGTGAGAAAGAATAGTGCTGTTGATCAATTTAGCAGCTCCTTTTCCCAACCATGCCGGTACATGTTCACAAACACTCAAGGATAAAGCCCTCTGAGTACGGCCTAAATAGTTAGCTCCATAGGAGAAGTTGAATTGGTATACACACATGGAGGAGCCCATCATCGGTAACCTATCCTTGATTTGCTGTGTAAGTACTGGTTTAGTTGAGAAAATTATACGTAGCTTGACAGCATGAAACGTCCTTTCAACATATCTTTTAAGTCATGTTAAAATATCACCCGCTATGTTCCGCTTAAAGTCCAGTTTCAGATATAGGGTTTCTTACTGAGTGAGTCACAATTTATTATTTTTAATGCCTTCTACTAGGAACTTTCTGACCATTTGTAACATATAACATTGTCAAGTTTACTAATAGATACGTTATTTTGGCCTTTGTAAAATATAACTATGGACTTACAACTGTAGAACCTGATGATAGTTTGAAAACAACTGTTCACTCAAATATTCTTCATTTTTTGAAATAAAAAAAATTAATATCAACTATATAACTTGTCTTATTGGTCAACTTGAATTAGTTTATGTTTAAAGTTTCCTATTTCGGTACAACGATCAGATGGATATTTAATGATTCAACTTTGTATGAAACTCAGTCTATTATTGAATTACTAATACTATTCAATTAAACGAAGTGAGTTTTGAGCAGATTATTCAGTGGGTGAATGTTTATATCTACAAACTCCATATCCTTTTTATAGCTTGTATATTTCTTTCGGCGAACAGAAATCGCAAGATAGTAGAAATAAAAATATAAGATATCTGGAAACCGATTCCTAGAGAAACCACATTTATAATCTTATCTAATGTTAAATTGAATATTCTATATATATATATATATATATTTCTTTATTAGTTTGATTTCTTGATAACGTTTGTCATATTCATCATCAAGAACGAATAACTGAATTCATTAGTACATTTTATCATTTACTTAAACTAAATTATCATATTTAATAGATGAAACCACATATCAATTGATTATTTCAAAAATTATGGACTTCATCACAATACTTGATTTGGAAATTTTTGTAGAATTCGTAAATTTGAACATGTATAAGGTAATTGTTACATAAGTGTTGTAAAGAGTTCATATAGTTTAAAGGTGAATTTTATTATGAATTAATATCAACTGTGGAACTATTAAATATAAGCAAGCATTAAACAACTATTCTGTTCTGGTAAGAGATTTCTTATGAGTTACATTGATTAATCACCGAGTAGTAACCAAGGTCATATATTCCAGATCAACTCCGTCTTCTTAGTGTTCAATTAATATATCATGTTTATGTAGTTCTTAGTGTTGGTCAAATTCTATTGAACAGATTATAATGTGATGACCAGTTTAAGTGCGTTATATTTTGAATTTGAGTATTTGAAAGTAGTCGGAAAGAAACTTTAAAATTTGTGTTCATGTTGAAATTTGATCGATAGAAGCCGAACAGAGCTAAAGGACTAAATAAACATGATATTGGTTACTACACAGTGATAAATGAAAGTAAATATCTCAGTCCTCTAAGAAGCCAACCACACCCCGAATAACTCAGTGGTAAAATCTCAGGCTGTGAAACTAAGTGACGTGTGTTCGAATCGTACAAGGAGAAACAGTTCCCTGAAGATTCCAAGCATGCCTTGCAGATGAGTGTCAACTAGTATGAAACTTAAAACAAGAATTTCCTACGAACTACCTCTACACACTTAACATCCCTTAGTGGCGTTCATTAATGAAGGAGACTACACAAGTAAATAGCTTATAATATTTCACATGGTACAACACAAAACCTTTTTCTTATTGTAGCGTATTTTGACAACGACAAAAAATGTAACAAAAGATAGAGTATTGTTTTATAATTTAAGATTATAATATTTAAATTTCATTGAAATAATTCAAAGTAAAAATAACACAACAAATTGTTGAGGATCTAGTGAAATTCTTATCATCCCTGAACAGTTGACACCGGCATTGTGACTGTTAATATCTGAAATAAATAAATTTGATTTATTCATATATAAGTTTAAGTAATTAGAATAATGATCATCAACTTATTATATTGATATCAAAAACCATATTGTACTCCAGTTCAGTTATTACGAAACAGTGAGCTGATTGTTAAAGTGTTCAGCTTCATCTAATTCTCTTGATTAGGCAACCGGATGGGTTTTTGGAGTACAAATACAAATTATTACTCACAGTTGAGTGAAACATACACTTACTACTTTAATGGAAGTTATATTTTATGTATCGTTTTTACCGTTTCGATCTTCAGTAACATAATTATGAAAGAGAATACAGTTGTTTTAATTTAACTTGTAGAGAAAATTAATTGTTATCTTGGTATTTACTCACATGCATAGAAATCTATACATTATCAGTGTAAAGATGAATTATATAATGGACGAAACAATGTTAAACTGTAAATAATTTCTAAACTTTTACGTAATGAACAGAATAACCTAAAGTTCGGAAAGTTTAGATTGGATTCTAATCCAGTTTCTGGATGGCTATTATCCCTACGCTGGAAGTTAGAGTCTAGAAAATGTCAAGAAAATCCTTGAATATAGTACAAGAAAACCATGTGTTATTATGTTGTTCTGATACCACATAATTACAATAATGGTATAGTAGGTTGCTCGAATTTCAGGGTCACTTACTTTACAACTGTGAAAATAATTGCAAAAAATTTTTCCATTTAGATTTGTTGTGATTGACTGATTATGACTGCTTATTACATGAACACACATTACAACCTAGCGTAAAGTTAATTACTTCAAAGTTTACCTACTTTTTGTAGAGAGAGAAAAGGTAATTACAATGCAATTTCTGTATCGAGTATATATATATATATATATATAGATTAGATAGATAGATAGATAGATAGATAGATAGATTAGATAGATAGATAGATAGATAGATAGATAGATAGATAGATAGATAGATAGATAGATAGATAGATAGATAGATAGATAGATAGATAGATAGATAGATAGATAGATAGATAGATAGATAGATAGATAGATAGATAGATAGATAGATAGATAGATAGATAGATAGATAGATAGATAGATAGATAGATAGATAGATAGATAGATAGATAGATAGATAGATAGATAGATAGATAGATAGATAGATAGATAGATAGATAGATAGATAGATAGATAGATAGATAGATAGATAGATAGATAGATAGATAGATAGATAGATAGATAGATAGATAGATAGATAGATAGATAGATAGATAGATAGATAGATAGATAGATAGATAGATAGATAGATAGATAGATAGATAGATAGATAGATAGATAGATAGATAGATAGATAGATAGATAGATAGATAGATAGATAGATAGATAGATAGATAGATAGATAGATAGATGAACTTGTTGGTAACGAGTGTAGTTAAAAGTAAAACTAGTCAATAAAAATCAGTGGCTCCTAATTACCATTGTAAAACTTTATTCATACTTTTTTTGTAAATATTAACAAGTTAGTCAGTTAGTAATATGTAGTGTAGAACCTAGTACATAAATGCATCAATTCAAGTTGTCATCAGCAAAGTTAAATCCAAGAGCAGTAGTTTCAATAGTAGTGGTAACAGTATTAGCGATATTAAAAAAGATTATGTATAGAATATAGTATTGCATAAAGTGATAATACTAATAAAACTATAAATAATTGATAATCTTTCCCACATTATTGTGACCGAATTTTATTGCATTAAAATACATTTAACGCACTGTCTATCTATAGTCTGGATAAGTTATAGCTGGTTATGTCACAATAGAGATGTCATCATTATTACTATGGAAGTGATTATAATAATATTAGTATAGTGGAAAAAAAATGGACAACAACAAATAAACATAAACAATTATGTTTGATAGATAGACAGACAAATAATCAAAATATCATATTTCAGTCAGAACAACAATAACGAATGAACAGATTTTCAATCGCCTATTCAAGAGTTTACAGATGGATGATATTTTTTCCCTAGATAGACAAAAAATAATTGACTGTAATTAGTATACAAATTTAACTGATCAAGGATAAATAAATCAATAACAAAAGTTAGCTGTTACCTAGTGAAAGAAAAACTGAAGAAGATATATATATATATATATATATATATATATATATATATATATATATATATATATATATATATATATATATATATATATATATATATAGAAGCACTTTATACACGGATACAAACATACAGGTCACATTTAGTAGTATGAGTATTACTTTGGAATTAAATAATCAGAAATAACGTTTTCTTAGAGTTAGGCATTCATAATAATTTTGTTTGTTTATATATAAACGATCTCACCTAATTTTGATTAACAGACAAACAAATATTTACTTCTTTCCAAACTGAATACATTTTTCTAGGAATAAAAAGATTTCGTAGTTTATTTTTATTTGCTATTGTATCGAGTCACATAACAACAGCACGCAAACATTTGAAAACTTTATTAAACATAATGATAATAATATTATTATTAGTAATAATAACAATGGCAGTATATCATAATGGGAATTGGAATGAAACAAACAAAAATTTAAAAATAAGGAAAATAAACAAACACACGAAAACTTTTTTGTAGAGTGAGCTATAAATTAAAAAGTTAACAATCCTTCATATAATCACCCCCCCCGTTATCACATAATAATAATAATAATAATAATAATAATAATAATAATAATCGCAATAATAACTTATGTTGAAGTATTCTATTTTATTTATAAATGAGCAGATGAACAAATCACTATGATGATCATCATCACGAAGAGGAGAGGGAGGGTGTTCAGAAATGAAGGTCAGGGGGTGGAAGTGATTAATGGAAAGGGATTATGCATGTATATATATATATATATATATATATATATATATATATATATATATATATATATATAATGGAAGGTGAGAGAGATTAAATTGAAAAGGAAAGATGGATAAATAATAAAAGAGAATTAAACAAATTGAGGACATTGATAAAGCCAAGTACAAATCCTATGAATAATGTGTGATATATGAGATTTGTTGTTGAAATAGTCCAGTAAGAAAAAAAGACTAATTTGTAATGCACACGGAGTATACAACACACACAAACACAAATAAGCAAACAAATATTCACAAAACATGTAAGAATTAATCGAACGATTCATTGGATTTTCAATAGGGAAGAATGTGTATGAGTTAGCTACCTTAAGAGGTAAACAAAGAAACTATGAAAAAGCATGGAAGTTAGGAAGAAGCGTAATAAACATAAATCCATTTCATTTTTAAATTCAAAGAAACCACTTAATTGGTTCATTGACATAATGAAGTTGTAAAATGTGAATTCTACATTTTCTATCCAATTTAACATGTTCTTCTTTCCCATTCAATTTGATTAAACATTTCAATATGAACCTTCAGAATTGAAGATAAACGTTCTTGCAGAAATAAACATAACATAGATACAACCTTGGATTCGTGATACTAACGATTTGACGTATGTCGACAAGAGAAAAAAAACTATAGAACCGGAATTAGTTTAGTGTGTATTGATTGACAAGCATATCCGGTATAGGTAAATAGGTAAAACAACATATAGATAGATACGTAAGGCATCTTGTTTGATGCAAACTAACAGCATCATCCCATCGATATGTTTTAAATAAACAGTGGAGCATATGAAAAAATTCGGAAATTTGAAAGGTAAATTTCCTTTGGAATTGCTATCAATCTGGAGGGACAAGGAAAACTAGATTATATATGATTTACTACCATAAGATTCATAGACCACTCCATTCATGCCGTGGAATGTTTTCTTTATTAACCAAATGTGAAATCAAGGCTATTTTCTATAGAAACCATTTTATGAGAACAAACAACAATGTAGAAGAAAGAGTTCAAATGACTGTATTATATATACTCTCCAATCATGAAACCGATTCATCCCTATACATGGCCAATTCTAAACCCTAGTGACTTTATGAAGTGATTCCAAGTATCTATATGGCTTTTTAATAGACTGATTAGTTACTTGAAAACAGAATACAACAAATGTGTCAAAACGTGATCAAACGATCAGATTGTGTGAGACTAGGTGACTTTCTTGTTTTAGTCATTATGTCAAACGTCTACTTTTTCAAATCGAATTTTTAAACTCTCAACATGCCGATGCTATATATTCCATCCTCTCAGTCATTCAAAATGAAGTAATTTATTATGAGGAAGTGATCTCTGATTTATCAAGCCATATAATTGATGATTTATAGTGAGTAAATTCAAGCATGTATATTGATTTGGAGGGCCTTCGAAATATTATTTAATAAATATGTTTTATTACTGCGTGTAATTATCGTTGTGGAGTTACGGAGTTTGTGAATTCTGTTTCACATTGTTTTGATCTTCTGCAAGCCTTTCTGCCTTCATCAAAACCATGTAAACATATTTTCTTTCGTGCGAATTTATTTTTGAGCGAAATGTAAATAAATATAAGTCTAATTGTTTTATATTGGGTGCTGGATTATCGGTTAAGGGGTTCAATTTTTAATCAGTAGGTCAAATATTTCAATTCTTCCCTGCTCCCAATCCAAACAGTACTACTAAACCTCGTGCTTAAAGTAAAGCTCGAAGACGCGTACATTAATCAGCACTTGCTAAATGACTTGACAAAATATTCTTTTACAAGATGACAGTTTATTTAAATGGCTAAAAATTCACTTTAAAAAATACTACAATACAAGGTGGTAATCAAGAAAATATCTCACTTTAGCTCAGAATAATTTTTCACAAAACAGTTAAATATTTGATATCGATCGAAGACCTATTACCAACGTCTATGTTACGAAAATGTGAAATTCAACTATAGTTCAACAAGCTTCCTTTTGTCCATATGACACCGGATGTATATATCATAAAGCACAGTGAAAAAGGAAATAAAAATAATGAAAATTTACTAACTCAAACAATGATATGTTAAC